TTTTTCAAATTAAAGAAAATGCCTTTGATGTTGACTTGTTCCACATTCTAAATAATGACACCTCTGCGTGTTTTGGGATCAAGAAAATTTTAAAACAATTCAATGTCCTGGAAGCTTCCCCAGATGTCACAGATGCTATCATAGAATTAGGTTCACTAATTGACCTTTTTGTTGTTGATTTCAATCACCTCAAAGATTTATCAAATAAGATACATAACAAATCAGAAACCCAACTGGCTGAATGGGATGCATCCATTGAGTCTACTGTCAAAGCTAAAGAATTGCAAAAGGGTTCTGAAAAAATAAGAAGGAGATTGAAACATGTGACAAAAATGTCGAAGAGTGGGAACAACAGATCAAAGAGCTGCATACCAAGATCTCTCAAGCCAAAAAATGCAAAGTCAAACTTCTGAAGTTTGACCATGACAAAGTGGCCAAAGAACTTGAGGTTGGTGCGCATCATGCCGAGAGAGCTCAAAAGCATGGGAAAGAGGTTGAAGAACTTTCGAACAGCGAGACTTTCTGTGAATGACGTTTGACGCTTCAAAGGTCAAAATATTAAAAGGTGAAAGACTCTCTTCCTTTTTAATTTGCTTGTAACCAATGAACTTGTTCCTTTGTTGTCTTAATATTGAGCCCATGTATGGCGTTTTATATAATGACTGAGCCATTTTGGAAAATTTATTTATTCCCATTTTAGCTTCGACTAATTTTTGTGCACTATTTCTTATGTATCTTTATTTCTTGAAGTATAGGCTTATATTTTTTCAAATATTTACCATTCACCTTCAAGATTCTTCTATCTTTATTTGACTCTTCGATTTCATACACGCTATTGGAAAAGACTTTAAGAATTTGAAAAGGACCTTCCCACTTAGGGGACCATTTGTCCAAAGTTTTGTCCTTCTGATCCATGGACAAAATCACTTTCCAAACTAAATCTCCAGTTGAAAATATCTTAAATTTCACCTTTTTTTTATATGACTTTTCCACTTTCTTCTTTTGCCTTTTTAATAATTCTAAGGCACTCAGTCTTTCTTCGTCCAAGTCGACTAGTTCGTCCAACATCATATTCCAATATGAATCAGATGGGATTTCATTTTGTCTCTAAATTCTAGTTGACTGTAAATAAACTTTGACTGGTAACACGGTATCATGACCATATGTTAGTCAAAAAGGTGTAGTATTTGTAGCCTATTTAAGGGAAGTTCGACAAGCCCACAAAACTTGATCCAATGTCTTATGCCAATTTCTTGGCTTCTTCCCCACATGCTTCTTAATTAACCCAATCACCACTTTATTTATTGCTTCGACTTGGCCATTAGCTTGAGCATAATAAGGTGTCAATGTTAAAAGTTTGAACCTCATTTCTTTAGTAAATTTTTGCATTTTTCGACCAGTAAAAATTGATCACTGATCTGTTGTAATAGTTTCTAGGATTCCAAACTTGTAAACGATGTGCTTCTAGATGAATTCGATTACTGCATTCTGATCCACATTTGCTAGTGGTATAGCCTCAATCCATTTGGTGAAATAATCTATTCCCACTAAAATGTATTTCTGACTCTTGGATGATGTTCGTCGAATTTCACCCACTAAACCCAAAGCCCAACCTCTGAAGGGCCAAGGTTTTACTATTGAATGTAGTTCGTTTGCAGGAACATGCTGAATGCCTGCGTGTATTTGGCATTCTTGACATTCTTTAGCGAATTCAATTCAATCTTTGAGCATTACAGGCCAATACATTCCTTGTTGAAATGATAACCCTTCATCTTATGGCCTACATGATGTTCTCTACATGCCCCACTATTGACATTCAAAAGAGCCAAATATGCCTCTGATTCGCTAAGGCATTTGAGTAAGAAAACTTCAGGTGTCTTTTTGAATAATTCATTCCCCATCAGAACATAGATTAAGGCACGATATTTGACTTTTCGTTCGACGGAAGTTGTTGAACTCTGTAAGTAATCTATTATTGGCTTCCTCCAATCTTCGTCTGTCAAACTATTTATAGTTAATATTTCGAAGCTTTCTTTGTAGCATATCCTAACTTCATTGTTTCCAAATTTGTTGGGGATAATTTAGTTGATACAACTCTTTCCCTGACTTCAATTGCAACTTGTAATTTTTCCTTTGAAATTTTGTACCCTGAAGCAATCTGGGCCAAATCATTGGCCTCTTGATTATTAAGTCGAGGTATGTGTCGAATGCTTACCATTTCAAATCTTCGTAACAACCTGTTGGCTATCACAAAGTACATGATAATATTTTCCGTGACACATTTATATTCCTTCGTAATTTGTTTTATTACCAATTTTGAGTCTCCTATTATTTCGACTCCAGTTGCCCCCAATTTCAACAATATTTCAATTCCAGCAATTAAAGCTTCATTGTTTGAACAAAGGCCTTCGACATTATACTTGAATTTTGTTGGAATTTTGTTAGGAGAAGTAATCAATACTCCTACTTCTATTCCATCCTTATGACTAGAATCGTTGAAGTATAACTTCCATGGTTCAAGCTCCACAAAAGTTAGGGAGTTTTCGATTATAGAGTGGTCGGCTATAAAGTCGACTACCACTTGTTCTTTAACAATCTTTAAAGGCATATAAGTTAAAGAATATTTTGTTAAAGCTAATGCACATTTACCAATTTGACTGTGCAAAATAGGTTTAGAAAGCATGTATTTAATAACATAAAACGAGAAGAAACATAAACTTCGACTGATTTTATATAATGCTTTAATTTTGTACAAGAAAAGTATAGACAAAGACACAAATTTTCAACTATACTATATCTAGTCTCTGCATCATTCAAGACTCTACTAAGGTAGTAAATGGCTCTTTCGACGTCATTCTCATCCTCTTGAGCTAACATGCTCCCTAAAGTCTTGTCTGACGCAGCTATGTACAATCTCATACTCCTATTTCTACAAGGAGGTGCCCGAATTGGAGGGTGAGCAAGGTATTATTTAATCTTGTCGAACGCTTCTTGCTGCGCTTGCCCCCACTCAAAACCTTCTTGCTTGAGTCGAAGTAGAGGTGAGAAGGCTTGAATCTTGTCACTCAGATTGAAAATGAATCTCCTTAGGAAATTTATCTTCCCTAGCAAAGACTGCAACACTTTCTTTGTCGAAGACACTTTCGCCTCCATGATGACCTTGGTCTTGTTCTGATTAATCTCTATTCCTTTTTTATAAACCACGAAGTCTAGAAAATCCTCCGTCTGCATACAGAAAGCACACTTGAGAGGATTCATCTTGAAACCATGGTGCATAAAAAATCCTCTTAATATTTTGTATCAACTTTAGTATGCATACGTGTACTATGTTTTGGACCCTGAATTGTACATTTATTAAATGTCGTATTAACATTAGAAAATTTTACCTCGCACCCCTACTTTTATCCTTATACTTATACATTTTATAAATAAATAAAAAATCAATTTTATTCTTGTATATTTTTAACTAATTTATTATTTTATTTTTTAAATTTTATTTTGCGCACTGAAAGACTTTGCAAAAGAGTTTCGGTAATCATTTTTCAAATATTTTTTTAACTTTTTTTGCGTATCGCAAGACTTTGCAAAAATGTTTCAGTAGTCAATTTTAGTGTACCAGAAGACTTTGCAAAAATGTTTCAGTAGTCAATTTTAGTGTACCAGAAGACTTTACAAAAGAGTTTTAGTAATTATTTTTTTAACTTTTTTTTGTGTACCGGAAGACTTTGCAAAAGAGTTCCGATAGTCAATTTTTGTGTATCGGAAGACTTTGAAAAATAGTTCCTATAGTCATTTTTTAAAATATTTTTTTAACTTTTATTTTGTGTACAAAAGACTTTGGAAAGAGTTGAAGTAGTCAATTTTTGTGTATCTAAAGACTTTACAAAAGAGTTTCGGTAGTCATTTTTTTAACTTTTATGTACCAGAAAACTTTGTAAAAGAATTCTGATAGTCAACTTTTGTGTACCATTACAAAAGAGTTCCGGTAATTATTTTTTAAATATTTTTTTTACGTACCAAAAAACTTTACAAAAGAGTTCTGGTAGTTAATTTTTGTATGCCGGAAGACTTTACAAAAGTTCTGGTAATTAATTTTTGTATACCAGAAGACTTTACAAAAGAATTTCAATAGTCGTTTTTTAAATTTGTGTACTAAAAAACTTTACAAAAGAGTTTTGGTAGTCAATTCTTGTGTACCAGAAAACTTTGCAAAAGAGTTTCAATAATCATTTTTTAAACTTTTTTTTAATTTTTATTTTGTGTATCAAAATTTTTTTTCAAAATCTTCCGATATGCAAAATAAAATTTTAAAAATAAAATAATAAATTAATAGAGAATATAGAAAGAAAAAATTGATATCTTTTTTTAAAATATAAAGATATAAGGATAAAAATAAGAATATGAGGTAAAATTTTCTTAACACTACTGTTGTACTCGTTGCTATGTATTAACGCTTTGAATAATATAATTCTAAATGCATATTATCTGGAGTGTTACCCTAACTTACTAAATAACAAAATAGTTGGTCCTAATTTTGAGGGAAATCTCAATATTTTTTGAAATATTAATGTAAATCAATATAACCAGCATCATGTGACACAAGTAATAGAAACTTGTGAGTGAAGAAACCTTGATTTAAAAAAAAAAAAAAGTATACCAATATAGCATAAGCAAATTGACAATAGGATTAATAGTGCAAACAACTCAGATACATTACAAAATTGCCTCCATTTTATGGATCCAATCCCAGGGTGCTGAAAATAAAATAAATCTTTTCCTCTTTATCAAGTCTATAATGGGAAAGAAGAAAGTAAAAACAAATTGAAAATCCTCCCTCCTAAAACAAGTTCTTCATACTTATTTTCGGGTAGGTGTGCATTAACTATATTTGTTTTCTTATGATTTCAGTATGACTAACAAGATTTCTGTACGAGTAAGTAAAGAAGCCGATGATGAATAAAATTGTAAAACAATGTCGTTATTACCATTACAGAATAGCATTATGCTTGGCCAGTTTCTTTTTCCAAAAGCTTATCATAAATCCTATCAATCTTGCTTGGAGAGAACTTGAACAGTGGATATGCATCAGATTTCTTGGTTATATTGCCCTTTGAAATTCCTAATTGCATGGTCTGCTTTATGCGGAGGAAGTGTGGCGGTAGCAATCTAATCTCATTACAAAGTTTTATCTCCTGCACGTGAACCAATGTCATAAAGAAATAGCAACATAAAAAGGCAAATAAAAAGCTAAAAGAGCAAGGGAAAAAAATTGCTCACAGATTCAGATAGTAACTCAGCCCCTTCAAAATCACTGATATCCCATTCTTCGATTGTTGTTGTGATAGCTTGTATGGCCGTCGGTGTATCCTTGGTATCGCATGGGCTACTACCAAGCTCTACTTTGGGAAAATTTGGCTTCTGTAAAGGCTTACCACTTGTTCCAATCTGGCCACCTTGTTCAGCTTCTTTTGTCCTCTTTTGTTCAATAAATTGATAAGCATCGGAAGCAGTTACACAGCCAGAAATTCGAGCTTCCTGCAAAGATAATCCAAATGGAAATTCCATAATATCAACACACTTTGATAGATGTGAGTCACTATAATTGGATTAATTTGAAATTTTGAAGGCAAAAACTCAAAAACTTGTATACTTGTGGCACATTAACCTCCCTCCTAAACTAAGAAAAACTTGTATACTTGTGGCACATTAACCTCCTAGCCACAATTTGCAGTTAATAAAACGAAAACTGGATCACACAGCCGACAGAACCCAAACCAGGGGACCTCTATTTTGGGGAATCAAAGCTATGAGTTGACTGTGTTAGACCGTGTTAGACCTCTTATTCAAAATGTGTATAAAGGGGAAAGGGAAAAACTGATTGTATCAGTCATGGGAAGTTACAGCTAGTTGTGGGGCAGTTGCTTTATGGGACAGTGACGGTTAGTTATGGAGCGTTAGTGCTAGCAGTAATTAATTATATAATTATTTATGTCGATTCAGTTGTGTGTAAACAATAAAAAGAAAAGACACTGAACAAGGGGGAGTTGTAGTAACTCAACTTTTCTATGAGACACGGTGAGATCGGACAAAATCTCAGTCAAATGCAGCCTACTACTTTTCAGTTTTGAGGTGGTGTGCAAAATCTGTTGAACTGGGAGTTGGTGAAAAGAAGGAACAAAAGCTTCTGTTTCAAGTGCAGGCAGCATTATAGCCCCAGTCAACCATTATAAACTAGAGGAAATAACTACAATATATATGGATAAAGCATGTGGTCAGCAGTAAAGTAGTAGAATGTAATACCTGTAAGTCTTGTATTCTTTTGACAAGACGGTGTTCTTCAATAATAGTTTTTAGCAACTCCTCGTGTTCTTCTTTTGAGTGAAACCGCATGAAGACCTTGTACTTTTGACATATTTTAAGCTCTTCAGGTGAAAGCGATTTCTCAAAAGGATCAGGATAAAGTAAATTCCTTTCAAGTATAAAAATTTTTCTGCGCTTGCGTTCATCTAACCTGCCATATGTTTTCACACTTACATATCAGATATGGAAGAAAACAGAAAAGAAATTGAATCCAAATATATCCTAAAAGAAATAGTACACAGGATTTTGGCAATTCAAGGATAAGCGTGTTGTCATGTTAACTCAGAAAAATCAGGTAATTCGAGGGAAAAGCTAAAGAAACTAATTCACATGCAAACAATCTTACATAATTTCTTCCAGGACCGCTTCTAGATGGCTAATTTTGTTTTCTTTTATTGGGAAGAACAATAAACCTTTGTTTGACGATAAAGTAAATTATGTATACCTTTTTGAGTAGATGCGAAGCACTTGCAGTTTTGTTTCACGTTCAGCTTCAGTGTCAGTGTCTCTAAACTCCATTTCTGCCAAAATTTGCTCAGCATCATTGTCGTATTCAACATCGAATTCACCTCTCTTAGAATTGTATCCGCTCAACGCTTTCATAGAAGGTCTATACTCCCCAGATAATTTAGGTTTCTTTTCACCAATGCTCCGACCTGCTTGAGATTCTACTAACAAAAAAATTGCAATTGAGCGCATTAGTACATGAAATGCATGTTCTCTAATTTTCCAGCTAAGCAAGCATATGATATGGTAATACAAACTATATATTTGAAAGTATGAAACTAAAAAGTGGCAACCCATCGCTTTATAAGTCCATTTTGTAAGATTGAGTTAGGCCCAACTCAAATTTTAAGATGATATCAGAATCTATCTAAGACCCATTAGGCCACATGCTACCAAGTTTCCCCCATCGAGCCACGCTCTAGATGTTTAGTCTAGGGCGTGACGGTGAGATGTTAAGAATCTCACATTGAATGAGTGATGGTCTGGACATATGTTTATAAATGGGGGCAATCCTCACTTTACAAGTCTATTTTGTAAGGTTGAGTTAGACTCAACCTAAATTCTAAAAAGGCCCGAGTCAAATTCAAATATGATACAGTGCTATAGGGTCAGGCCATTGTTTCAAACCTAGTAATTCGTGAAAAATGCAAAACAAAAAGAAATCAACTGCTATTTTGTTTAATAAAAGATCGAGCAGGGACTTGTGTTCATGGGACATGTTAATGGAGAACAAATAAATAGCTGAGATCCTAAAAAGCACATTTAACATAAGTAGTGATGATTACCTATTTAACAAGTTGGGTATGATAAACATATTGGATCCAGCTTGAGGAGAGTGTATAGAAGTGTATTATTACTAATGTCATATGTGAGGATAATTATGTCTTCTGCACTACTTTGTATTGCATTGTACTGGTTTAAAACCATAAACATTCCTGTTGTATGTTGTATATTGGGTAAGAGAGGAAATATTTTCCATATTTATTGCATCTCTATAGTTAAGGAAGTCTATATAGATTATAGGATCAGCATTGTAAAAGATCTCAAATATCAATATGAAGAACAGTGTTAACTTTTCAAGCCCAATATTATGTGTGTATAAGATTTTGTAATCCCATAGCCTGTTCAGGATTAAACTCCATAAGCAATAAGCAATATTATTAAACCTCTTATCAGGTATGTTAAAGATTTTCCAAACACTAATTTGATCAATGAAAGATCTGTGGTGTCTAACTGGTTCTTTAATGATAACTTTTTGTCATTGATAGATGTCCGTTTGTTCTACTGCGGTCAAAATATTATCCCTCACGGACAAAATTAATGTAATAATATTTCAAGAACAAAATTAATGTTCTGAAATTTTCGAGATAAAACAGAGATATAGTTGTTCAAAATTCCCAACCTGGCAAATTTTTACATCAGTAGAAGGGGCGGTAACTTTCATTCAATACTCATAAAACATACCTTCCACTTTAACTTCCACCTTAACTCCATCATTATTCTGATTCATATTGGAAGCCTTCTTGATTGAACTTGAAAGAGCTTTACCACTAGCTGAATTTATATCACCCATATAAATTATACACATGAACATAAAATGTCACTGCAAAATGGTAAAGGAAGACTTTTCTCAAGTTATAGAATGTACCTGAGGTTAGCCTAGATGTCGTTTGATCAGTGGTTGCTGCCTGCTTAGATTCTTCAGTGCTGAAATGTTGCCCCAAAGGATTAGCAGTCATAAAGAAACAATTTTAAATAATCAAGTAAAATGGTGAGGCATACTTTATTCCATCAGAAAAGAGAGGCTCTTCTTTCAAAGTCAGCTCTGCACTTGGAGAAAATTCTGCATGAAAAACATATCATGGAACAAAAATTTGTATTATGAAAATAACATCCATGAAATTTTGACATTGCAAAATGCAACCAACAAATTGTGGGGTACAGTATGCATGCACCCCAACACTTAAAACAAAACAGGCATTACAGAGGACCCATAAAAATGACGAGTAAAACAAGCACAAGTTAGAAAATTTTCCTCAAATTTTAAAAAAACCATCAATCCACGAGAGATATTTTTTCAGTATTAACCTAAGAGAATGATAACATAAAAATGACTGTATAGGCAAAGAATATTGAAGTATTAAACTTACTCTGTTCTAAGAGTGCTAAAAACACTCTTGCTCATGCCAAGTAAAAATAATGTATTCTAGATAGCCTTCCACATCAGCAATATATAGCAACGTGTGGAAAATACACATTGCATTCTTTATCAGCAATTGAACATGTTACATATCAACATCTAAGTTTTTCCTTTTAGCTTTTCGGTATAATTGATGGATGAATGAAGACTAAAAACTATTGTATTTTATTTAAGAATATTTTTGTAATGAAACAAACTGCTCAATTTAAATGCATATATATTGTTAATTCTCAATTTAGATCTTTTAAATGAAATGTCCGTGTTTTATTTAATTATAATATATAAATAAATATATATGTATTGGTGACCAATACTTTTAATTGGCAGTGTTTCCGTGTATATGTCCGTGCTTCATGGCATATATATATATATATATATATATATATATATATATATATATATATATATAGAGAGAGAGAGAGAGAGAGAGAGAGAGAGAGAGAGAGAGAGAGACACACACACACACACACACACATATATATATATATATATATGTGTGTGTGTGTGTGTATATAGATATATATATATATACATATATATATATATATATATATATATATATATATATATGTATATATATATATATATACATATATATATATATATGTATATATATATATATATACATATATATACATATATATATATATATATATATATATATATATATATATATATATATATATATATATATTCTGTAATTATTGTTGTAAGTAAACAAATTCATTTTGTGCAATATGGATTAGAGTGACATAAGTTGTTAGATATGCATATGCTAAATCGGCATCTTTACATATGCATAGCTATTGTTTCTCTTCCTTCTCAACACAACCACTTGGTTACATAGCATGCATTAGGTTTCGAATAAAACTACGTAATTAAGTCAAGCATGAAAAACTTCCACAAATTGTGATTTAGATCATTAAGAAGCCAACCTTTCTTGACTTGATGTCCCTTTGCCATTGCAAGGAGTTCATCTTTGTTCTTTCCCATAACATGAGACAAATCCTATGTGTACATACAAACAATTACACCATGAATTCAAGCACAGGTTGCATGTATGCTATCAAAAACAGAGTTATCAAATGGCCTTACCGGTAGAGGAAAACATGGTGAATTCAGATATTCAGCATTATAGTGGTCAATACACTGTGATTTGCTTTTCGTTCCAACATTGTCTGCAACTTCATTCCAGTTCCCAAATCCATACATGTCAATGGCCTAAATCGAAACATGATTGTTATGATACACAGTTTTGATAATACTAACTAAAGTAGAATTGCAGACAACATTTAATATATAAAAAGTAAGAAGAAAGAAGATAGAATCGAAGAGTTCCCGATATTTAAACCACATACCTCAAGAAGTAACATCTCTTCATCTGCACTCCAATCTGGACATACAAGTGGAAAAGATAGATTATCCTGTAAAAAGAAATATATTTTAAAACTTAAATTAATACACTAATGTCATCCATATTGGAAACTATGCTTGAAACTTCATTCATAACAAAATTCTAGTGCTTTCAGGTTTTAACGTTACATGTATGATGAAAGTACACAAACCAAGTAAGATTTGAGAACATTTATTCAGATTTTATCTCATTATATGGTAAGGAACGAAATTTTGCACTATGCTCGGAACAGATTTCAGAAAACCACCCTTCATGAGAGAAATGATATATAAACATAGCTGATTAAAACACATGCAAATGTAACAAGTCAGCAACAGCTTATTCCAACACATTCAGCGGGAAAAAAATTGAGGAAAAGAATTGCTATCATCCTAATGTGATACTGCACAATATTTATAGACTACTAAAGCATGTACTAATTGCTCTCCAAGTTACTATTAATCTGGTTTTCATGCAACAAATTATCGCCATCATAGGATTTTATACCAATACAGCTAGTACAGCCTCTAGTATTTAATCTAATCCTTCATATTATTCATTTTTATTTTGGGAAACAAAACTTTATTATAAGGAAAGGAAAGATGTGAACAAAGGAAAGCAAAAAAATATTTCATCCCATCCACAGTACTGACATCCAATATCATATTAAGATATTTAAATAAAAAGTACAAAAACTTTATACAACAACAACCAAATCAGTTTCTTCCTACGTGAGATAGTTATCAAAATCGCGAGTTAACTCCTGGATTTATGCAATTATACGATTCCAATTGCCCAATATTAGTCCATTCGGCTGTGGAAAATACTTTTCACTGATTCGGATGAAATCGTGAGTTAACTGGTGGACTCGCATAAACTTGTGACTTGCAAGTTTAGCACCAAGTTTACAAGTCTATGGTTTTTTTTTAAATTCAGCCCATTTATAAAACCTATTTTCTTCTCTTGTTTACACAAGAGTGGAGCAGAGCGGGTGAAAATAGTCTACAAGTTTCAACCAAAGGTAAAAGTTAATGATAGAACATTTAAATCAAAACCTTTTTAACAGTTTGGCCAAAAACAAATTGGTATCCCTCCACCCTAGCTATTGGACAATCTTCCAATTTTATCTTAGAAAAATTCAAGATTTGACTACATTATGATAGCAATACTATAATTATAAAACAGAAACAACTCAAAGAAGGTTTCATACCATAACCCGATATGGATGATTGCTTTTATGAGGTGTCAACTCAGCACCAACAGAGAAGCACTCTATGCAGAGATCAAAATCTTGACACACAACACATTTGATGCGAATCTTCCCTGAAATATCTTTGTTGCAGTAATTACAATGATATAGTGATACCTTGCCATCAGTTATTCCCATGCCTACCACAATTAGAAAATGGTATTACATAAGATGTTAAAGGACTTTTTGATGGAAAGCAATAATCTGTTAATGAAAAATCACCTGCAGATGAAGTTTCTAAATTCTCCGCATTTAAAGCAGTCTTTTTTCTCTTGGATCTAAAAGCAGAAAGCAAAGAAAGAAACAACATTACAACATATGTGGCATTAAGCATTATAGCAGAATTTCAACTGCATCCGTGTGTGTGCTTCAAAACAAAAATCTACTAAAAATAAAAATCCTAGAACAACAAGTGCACATTGGTACTTTCATAAGTCCACTCAAATCCAACTATGATGTGATCAATGAAGATTATAAAATGTAGCCGACCCACACAAATTCTATCCTTAATACACCTAGATCTTCATAGGTCATAATTACCAATCCATTCAAAGCCAACTAATCCAGTCGCTTAACTCCCTCCTCAAATCTCCTACTCTCTCCGTCCCATATTAGGTGTCATATTAGCAAAAGTAAGGTCTTAAAACAAGTGTCGCTTTATGTGCATCATTCTCAAGCTCATTATACTTTACTGTGTATTCATGAAAATTGCTGCACTCTTACATTTATTTACAACAACTTTTCTTATCATGTGTAAGTGTAAAACAACCTAAAGTGACATATCATATGTATAGTCCTTTGAACACAAATGGTGCTAACTGAAACTTTCTATGAGTTGAACAAATTTACTTCTTCTGATAAAGCCATAAGTCCGCGTTAAAGCTCGATACATACGGCGCCCGTCATCCTTCACATTTTGGCCATGGCAGAGAGCCTAAACCCGCCACCGATATTTGACAACACTGTATTTAGAAATCAAGATATCTTAAAGTTCTGCTATGCGTACAATTGGATAGTGGAGTTCAAAGAGAATGAAAGACCAGATAACTTCTCATTTTAATCAAACCAAACCATCTAGTAGGACTCTTCTCTTTTGTATTAAAAAAACATAATGAGAGAGAAGAACAGGTTCCATAATAAACAAGGCTTCCTACTCATGAGTCCACCATTTGAACGGTTAGAAATACAAAACAAATAAAATAAAACTAACTTAGAATGTAAGACAAATTAACCGATGCCACCAAATAAAACAAATGGTTTATATATAAACACTATTTTCAGCATGATAAGAGAAGAAGATAGAATTAAGATATCTAAAAGCTCCGCTAAGTGTAAGTTTTGATAGAAGAGACCATAAGGGAAAGTAAGGCAGGTAACTTCTCATGTTAAGAAAACATTCTTATCTAAAAGAAAAAAGGTATAAAATAAGAGAAAGTAAATGAGAGTAAATCACATATACTTCCCATTGTTGTCAAACTCACGAGTCAACTTGTAAACTCTGGCGAGTAAACTCAATGTTTAGGTAGCAAGAACAAGTCAACTGGCACTCGGTTTCTAGTATACTCAAGTAAACTCAGATCAACTCGAGTAGAGTCGCGATTAAAGTCATGAGTTAGGGAAATTGATGGGAACAAAAGAAAAATGCCCAAACCACAACCTTCGAGTGTGTTTCATTTGTTCCATTCAGCCTTTTCGATCATAGCCTCGCCTGACACTTGTGATTACGTTCAATTTATTCATTTTTTCAAATTATTATCCGTGTCTTATTCGGGATGTCCGTGCTTCATAGGGCATTCAAGCAAACATTATCCTTTCTTCAAAACTTCAATTTAAGATTGAAGCTTCACCAAAGTAATCATTAGCAACTAAATAGCAAAATACATAATCAAATACCTAGTGAAATACATTCGCCTTTCCTGATGGCATCAGAGAATCTAGACCTACTACTACTCCTCTTCAAAAAAATTGCATAAACATAACAATAACACGAAACAAACAGAAAATCGGTTCATAGTATACAAGATTACTAGTCCTAAGTACAAAAATAAAACGAAAAATGAGAAAATGTTGGAGAAAAAGTTGATGAAACCTCTGGTTAGGGTCGTCGTCTGCGGAGCGGGCTGCTGTTCGGCACCTACCCATTTCTCAGTGTCTCTTGGATGCTTTGCACTCTCAATTCGCGCTCGGTATGACGTGAAACCGCTACTTATATTCATTTTTACGTTTGGTTCTAAGATAATTTGTTTGTAATAATATAAATATAATTTATATTTATATATTAAAATAATTTAATAAATTTCATTATTTTTTTATAAATTATGAACTAAGTCAAATAAATTACACTAATAATTACATTGTCCTGCATAAAAAATAAATTAATTTTTAATCTCATTGTATTCATTTTTCTCTACATAAAATATAATAATATATTTTATTTTGAGAAAATAATAATTAGTCAATTCAAAATTTATAGTCAAATATATTTTCACCTAATAATAATATTATGACGTCAAACCGTTACTTATATTCATTTTTATGTTTGATTTTAAATTGGATATTTGCAGTTTGGTTTGAATCGGTTTTAAAGCAAAATATCATCCGATTCAAAGATAAATTTATTTGTGATTTGGTTTGATTTTAGATGATTGGTTAAAAAATCTGATCCAATCTAATTTTCTAGGGTTTGATTTAGATCAATTTTTTGGATATCCAAATTACAAATTATAATTTTATTAATATTGCAAAAAAACTAATAAATAATAACTAATAAATTTGATATAATATATATAATATATTATATTAAAAGTTAAAACTATAAAATAATAATGATAGATTATAATTGAAACAAATAAAATAATAAAAATTAATAGATTAAATAAAACTAATAAATAGTATTTTATATGTATCATCTAATAATAAATTAACACAATGTATTATAAAATAAATAAGTATAAAAATATATACATGCGGTTCGATTTGCTTTGGATCGGTTTTAAAAAATCAATTGAAAATATGATCCAGACCAAACGATTTTTATAAAATAACATCCAAACACATCCAATAATTTTTTATTTTTTACGATTTTTGGTTTTTTTTAATTGATTTGCCATTTTTATTTGGATTGGTTTGAATTTGAACACTCCTAATTCTAAGATAATTTGTTTGCAATAATATATAAATATATTTTATATTTATATATTAAATAATTTAATAAATTTCATTATTTTTCATAAATTATGAATTAAGTTAAAATAAATTACACCAACAACTAATAATCACTAATAATTATATTGTCAGTCTATAAAAATTAAATTAATTTTTAATCTTTTTTATAATTATCATCTCATTTCATTTATTTTTCTTTATATAAAATATAATAATATATTTTATTTTTGAGAAAATAATAATTAGTCAATTCAAAATTTATAGTCAAATACATTTTCACCGAATAATAATATGTTAATTTAAATGTAGTAATTTCCTTTGATAAAACTTGATAATATTAAAGGAAAAGGCGGTGTTTTAAAAATTAAATTGGTGAAATTTATGGTTTAAGATTCAATTGGTTAAATTTACGGTCGAACCGTTTATTAAATAAATTAATAACGTCAAATTAAATTTCATAGATATGTTACACATTATTATATATTTTCAACTTAATAAAATAAATATTTCAAAAATCAATTACAAAGTTCATACAACAATATCAATAATACGTAACGTAATATAGTTTTACACTTCATTTCTATCATCATTTAAGAATATTTTGACCAGACTAAAAAATTACAATAAAATAAATAAAGTTAATTCAAATCAAAATTAAAATAATAGAATATAATAACTAAAATAAAATTCAAATAATTAAGAATATATAAATTAAATAAGATAGAATACCAAAAATAAATAATACAATATACTTCTGATCTTACCTGATCAGAAGGGAATCAGTGACCTGCCACGTGTCGTTGATCTGCCAGTTGTTCACCGAAAGTAAGGAGGAGAAGGAGGGTGTACCTAAAACACACTTTGATGTCACAGTAAGTGACGAGCAGAGTGAGAACAAGTACAGAGAGAGTAAGAAAATTAAGTTACCTGACCCTCTAGTGGAAGAGGGTATTTATAATGAGCCTCCAACACAAGGCCAATGATTACCTTGAGTTGGGTTGGGCAGTCAGGCCAAACGATGGTAACTGCCAGGGCTGACGTGGCTTCGTGAAGACCAATACATGATCTTCGCCCTAGGGTAACTGTTATGCACTATCTGGGAGGAGGAATACCAAATCTCCGGGACGTGGGTAGTTACTTTATGACGTGTCCATGCATGAGGGACACGTAGAGAACATGGGGAGGCCTGAGGGGCTGCTCGGGCAGACTGAGCTCTGCCCGACGACGGGGAAGAAAGAGGTTGGTCGGTCAGCTACGAGAGTCCTGTCCGGCGGCTGCAGGCCTATGCCCGACGAGAAGAAGGTTGTGCCCCAACGGATCTTCTGCCAGTCCGTGCGATTCTATTGGGCCCAGCCCCTGTGGGGTTTGGGTCAGCCTGATTGTGGGCTAAGCATCGGTCCAGTCCAGAACAGTAGCCCCATAAGTCGTTGTTTGCGGTCAGGCGAGCTATGACTTAAGCAGCGAATACTGTCGGGTGCGTCGATCTGTCGGGCAGGGTGTGATCGTGTCGGCCGGGTGAACTTATGACGAGGGGGAGCCTGCGGTCGAGGGGGAGAAATTGAAGAGACACAGGGAAGGTGGGGGGTTGCCACGTGTCTTCCTATGACGGTTACGGGCTAGGCACTTGAGTGCCTAGCGACGCTTCGTTTTTCGTGCTAGGGGTATATATATGCTGACCTATCTCATCTTTTTCGCTTATTCGCTTATTTTGTAGCTGCCTAACATCCTAAGACATATGCCCGACATCCTTGATCGCTTATGCTCGACATCCGTGATTTCTTTGCCCGGCGACAACTTTTCCGCCACCACACCAAGTAAGTTTCCGCATCCTTCCTGGTGTTTTTGTTGCGTACGACAGTGTTTTCAACGGCCCCGCTGAGGGTGCTTGGAATACCGTGGGCTTTTCCGGCGAATACGCCGGAGGGTCCTTCAAAATTAGGGTAGAAAACGAATATCCTTGACTCTTGCAATGAGTGGCCCGGGGAGGATTGATAGGACTTTGAATGCCCAGAGGGTAATGGGATGAATGCCCGGGCACGAGTGGATGTGTGCGCCGAGGACAGAAAATGTACTCCCTGGTCTCCTCGGGGGCTAAAATTGTCCCTAACTCGTCCTCTAGGCGGCTAGGCGACCACGCCCTTTCACTTGAACTGCGGTGGAAGGGTGAATTTGATTTGGTTGTCGAATTCACCAAGTTCCTATGCTTTTCAGGTAAAAATGGTTGGCCATGCTGAGGAGGAGGTGCACTGGTACCTGTCCGAGGATGAGGAAGGTCGTCAGGATGAGGTCGAGATGGATCCCCTTGAGAGACCGTTAGAGGGATGGGTCGAGGAGGAGCCTTTAAATTATATGTCGAGGTTCGTCCTCGACGATTTCGACGTTTTTGCCATGATCGAAGACATGGAGGTCGGGAGTCCTCGCCAGTTTCGCGTTTGTCGACCAAGGGAGTTGGGCCGAATATGCTCGCGGTACGACGGTGATCGGTTTTTGATGTACGAGTTCGCCTTCAAGGAGGTGGGGATACGCATGCCCTTCACCGGATTTCAACAGGGCGTGTTCGACCATCTGATGTTGGCGTCATCTCAACTTCATCCTAACTCTCTGGCCTTCATCGTGGCGTTTGAGATTGTCTACGACTACCTTGAGCTCGGAGTCACCATCCCGCTGTTCTTTTGCGTCTTCCATCTGCAGCGTCAGACGGTGGCCGGTCGGCATAATTGGGTCTCCTTGAAGCAGCTGACTAGAATCTTTCGGTCATACACTAACTCAGTGCGGGGATTTAAAGATAGATGGTTCGTGATCATGCCAGCGGCAGACGAGGCCTAAGACACCATGTTCCGGAGAGAGGTGATCGTCGTGGACGCGCGGTTTAAGGATAGTTACATGTTTAACTTCCCATTGGATTAGGCGGGCCTACACTTCTGCTCGGGCACTGACAACTTCATCTACAGGCCTAGTCGCCTGGGCGAGGAGGACAGTTTGGCCTTCTGAAAGTTGACGGTCGACGGGGAATATATTCACAACACAGATGGGCAAATACGGACAGAGATCCAGTGTATCAACACCAAGGCTCTGCTCGAGTGTCGGACTGAGGCTGAGGCCCATCGGCTCCTAGGTAGTTTGGGTGATTCCTCAAATGATCTTGTTACTCGTTTTTTATTTTAATTCTAAATGTTTTTCTCGTGCTCTTCTTGCAGACACAATGGGCTTCGTGGAAGAACGTGTAACAAGGCTGATGAACAGGGGTAGCCGTCGTCCTCAAGTTCGGGCCACAGTTGTGCGGAGGGAGTTGGTCGTTGTTTTTTCGGAAACAACTTCGTCCCCGCAGAGGACTGGATCCCCGACACAACCCTCGGCCTCTAAGAGGCGACGGGAGGTCGAGGTTCCTTTGATTGATCTCACGGACGAGTCCCCAGAGCGCGAGTTTGTTTTGCCTCCTGCTGCCTTCAGCCAGATTTCTTTTTCGGGGGAACGATCCCGGGGTGGCCCCGGAGGAGGCTAAGAGCATATTGGTCACGGGCAAGGAGGCCTGGAGGAAGATGATGTCCACGGACCTGGCCGCGATGGTGAGGGTCTTTGAGACGGCCCTCGTGCTGAATGAGGAGGGATGCTCCTCAGAGGATTTGGCTGCTGTCAAGAGCGACCTCACGGTGTTTGGGGAGGTCCGGTCTAAGCTGGTGGTCGACCAGAAGGAATACCATAAGCAGGATAAGCTCCACCAGAAGTGTATTAGGGAGCTGGAGAAAGCCCTGAGGGAGAGAGATGGCGAGCTGGAGGGAGTTCAAGGCTGCGTTACTGAGCTCGAGGATCTGGTCGCCGTCCGAGGAGGAGCCTGAAGAGGAGTGGTCGGTGGGAGCTCGTGGACAGGGTTCGTCAATTAGAGGGGGACTGCTTGGGAGCCGTCGAGGTAAGCTTCAAGAATGCTGTCGACCAGCTCAGGCTCGTCAAATCAGACCTGGTGACCGACAGGGCTGGTC